ATATATTATATCTACATGCATATCGTGGAGTAATTATTTACTGCATCTTTATCAATACGTGTCAGTTAAAACAACATATTTATGATGATTTTTTTGCCCCCTACAATTCGAGGTCGTTTGATCTTCTTAATTAGTACAGCAGACCACAGGTATCTAAGACAAGCAGACAGCAGTTGCCAAGGTCACATTCCGGACATTGTTCCTACTTCTTTTAACTGGTAAATTTATAATTTATGATGCACAATAGAAAACAGCTTCATATTACCTCTTTTCACGCTATCTTATTTATGACTAATATATTAAAAGAATAAAAAGATACTAGTAATTGACTTATGGCAAAATATCACATAAATTTTGAAAGACGTTACTTTGTTGGGTTTATTTTTTATTTTGCAATTTAACTGTGTTTATTCACACATGAAAACATGAATGGAGTTCTTTATTATCCTAATTACCCTTTTCTTCACAGTTACGTTTCTGGCAGTAAAAAAATATTATCATTTACTGTATGAATTATCTAACAATACGTAAAATTGTCAGATGAACAACAAACGAACTTTTCCTCCCAAAAGGGTAATTTAAAATTGCTAAGTGAAGATAATCAATTTCATGTGTACTAGTTCGTTTACGGCCCGAGTTTAAAATACGAATGCCTCTCAAGTAATTATGACTCTGGTATCCAAACGATTTTAAAGAAATAGACTAAAAAAAAAGAAAATAACCGAAATCCTTAGGATAATATATGATATATTGGTAAAATGATATGTTGTATAAATTCAAGATATAAAATCAATACATGGACATGAAAAAACTCAAATGCAAAGGAATAATATTGTTGTTCTTCATCTTATATAATATCACGCCTTCATCATTGAGCAACAACTCTCACCTCACTGTAAGTTTAAAAGGCGACCATCACCACCGGTTTAAGTGGAGTTCTTTGCTAGATGTTGATCACGATAAATCTCTGTGTTGAAAAATAAGGCCGTAATGAAACATTTACAAATTATAAATTATATCTGGCAAATTAAAGAAATCTAAAAAAAAATACTGTCATAAATTGCCCTACAAACGACCTGTAAAATATATAGACAATAAAAACGTTTAGCCAAGCATGGGGCACATTAGACTGCTAACCGGCCGTTATTTGTCAAGTTTGAGATTATATCTGTATATTCCGAAGTCATACTGAATATTTTACGGAGGGAGCCAACTTAGGGGCACATCAAGATAGTATATGTTAGATAACTTGGCAGGAAATTACGTATGGATAGGGCAAATAACTCGGATGTACAACATAACAATTCCATCAAGCAAACTGACCGAAAGCAAATAAATGGAGAAGCACACCGTAAAAAAAGTCATCTCAAGAATAAATAAATTAATACGCCCTAACTTGAAAAATATAAGAGCATACAATTCAAGCATGGATAAAATGTTAACAGCCTCCAGATAGCTACGTCTGTGAAGCTTACCGAATGCAACTTATAAGCAGTTAGAATACACCATTAATTGGAATTCAATATCCTATTAAAATGTAACATAATTGTACCTTTATGTACTCTTGCTCGCGGTAAAACTTACCGAGCTTCTGTTGTCCGAAACTGTTTAACTGGTGTACAACTAAAAAGACCAAATAATAGAGGACGATAGTTACTCGTTCAATATTAATTTAAGGCTGAAGAACGAAACGAAATAACGCACGTACTACCTCTTATTCAATGATTATTTCTGAATGAATTTTATTCAAGAAAGTGAATCCCAATATTGTTACTTGGGGAGCAACAGGAAGTGTGCAACTAGTGGAGCAGTACTTCTTACACTTACGTCTAATAACAAAGCATCAGAGTTAAATTAATCGTAGATCTGTGTTGACTTGTGTTTGACTTTTCGCCCTCTTTCTTTCTTTTGCCAATGGTGTTGTTCGACCTTCTTCGGCCTGTCATCTTCGTTGACCCTTAGTATCATCTTATTGTTACTTTAAGAATTTTTCAGTAATATAGTCACATTAACTTTAAATTCTCCATTGAAAAAAAAAAGGCGGGAAATTTAAAGGGACATTCAAAAAAAAAAGAAGAGAGACTAACAACGCCATGGCAAAACAAGAAAAAAAAACGACGAAAAGACAAAGAAGTCCACAGAACTCTACAAAGAAAGCTAAAGACTGAGCCACCTCACCAAACGAACCATCGACGCACTTCAAATTAAGTAAGATATTTTGACCTCTATTTCGCTCCTCGTTCTGTCTCAAACATGTCTTTAAAATTGACATTGTACAGTATTAAAAAAAATGTTAATCACTGACATTGATTAAACAGTTTACCATCTATAGAACTCATTTACTGATCTTGATTTTTTACGTATCTGATTTGAACCTCAAACTATTTGGGCTTTTCCGAAGAAATATATTTATTCTTCTAGATTAAAAACCCCACTTAACTACAAACTTCATAATTTCAATCAAAATTGTATTCCAATTCGTGTTAGTAGTATAAACTGAAAATGGAAACTTTCACATAAAACTTTGTATTTTTGGTACATTTAAGCCTGCAACTAATAATTGTCAGGATTTTATTGACGTTATTATTATACGCAATGCATTAGCTATATATCTTAAGACAACCATAATCAAATCTGGTTATACATGTAATTCATAAGACTAAAATAAAAAATGAATGAACATAATTGAATAGAAATAGGTAGATGCCGAATTAGCAATTTCAGAATCTAATTGACTAATCGGATGAAAATCTAAATAGTATGAACAGAACGCCATTCTATTACACTGCGTGGCGTTGTCGATTCGAATGGGATATCGGATAGAAAATCGTATGGTGGATTCGTATATATTTGCTTGAATTTTCATTAATTTTGCTTAGGACTTTGCTAGCCATTCAGATCGTTTTGTTGTACGTTTTTGAAAATATTACCCAGAATGCATTAGATTCTGAAACGGCAAATTACTCATAATGTGTTTCAGCATTAAGTTGGAATACCCAGTATTTATTAACATAACATTTGACCATCCTGCATGTATATAAAGACTGCCACAATCGCTGGAAAATCAGATGCGTCGATTAGGAAAACAGATATAATCTGGCTGACAAATTTTTTCAATGTAATTTCTTTTCATATTATACGAAAAAAAAAATTTTTTTCTTAGTTGTGTGGGTACTTACTGATATATTTTTTTTTAAAGTTTGAGGTAAAACACATACAGACCCGCATATATATTTAAAAAATATTTTGAAAATAAGATCCTTTAGGGCGACATATGTCCTAAATCGTACTATTAGTAAGTTCAGCTTCAAATTGAAAACATGATAATAATATACATAGAATGTGTTTGATACAATTATCGAACAAAAAAGATTTTGATATTGCAATTATTAAAATTGTATGGTATGGAATGTAAAGATTATTGTTGTGTTTTATCTCTTTGTGTGTATATTTCCTGTCTGCCTGGTAGGTTTTGAAAATTTTATACACGACGCAAAAAGAATGAAAACATAGACACGACCTGATATTTTTTTGCGGTGAAAATGAAAATACCGCCCATGCCGACACTGTGGTCATACTTTTTTAAAGAGAAAATAATAAGTTGCGGCGACTCTTATCAACACATCCATGGCTATAAAAATACCAATAAAGTTCTCATACCTTCAAGACTATTATGAGTAACATAACCATAAAAGCAATTGTATTTGATTTGTAGACCAGGGGTAAGTGTGGGGTATAAGATATGGTCGTCTCTGGACTTCAGCCGTCCTGGAGTACAATCCTTGCAAAGTAGGGCGTCCGTTTGGTCGTGCGGGATGTATAAATACGCAAACAAATCCGGTCAGAACGGGAACGTAAAATCAAATGCGTAGTGTAATGAGAATGCACACTATGCATGTTAAACAACAACTATCTACTGGGTTCGTGCAACACGCGGATAGTCTGTTGCATAGTAAAATGTAATCCCTTAACCAACATCCCGGTCAAAAAGAAAAGCACCAGTACAGACAAAACTACAGTTCGCAACACGAACCTCACTAGAAATTTAAGCGTTCTTCGAAAAGCGCATCTAGTGCAGCAAAACTGGTACTTTTTTTTTTTTTTTTGAGATTTACTAGAAATATGCATTTTCGTCTTTTATAATAGTAGATAAAGTCAAAATTTATGGGGGAAACTAAATACACTCGTAGCTGCGTACTATTGTTTCAAGGATCGAACGTACTGAATATAAATTGTTCATTCACTTCAACTTTTTCCGAGTTTGCTGATTGGTTCACAAAGTTAGTTTTTCAATCAATAAATTTGACTTTTTTGTTATGGGAATTAATTTTTATATGTTTGAACTTTTTCAGTAGAAAAGCAAAAATGATAAGTTATTTATAAAAACTGCAATATTGCGTTATGAACCCACCAGTTAAAGGTCACACGTTGGAGAAGCGCATGTATAGTCCAGTTATCTTATCCTATAGAAGAAAAAACACTCATCATTCAGTGCATTATTTGAATATCATAAAAATAGGTTTCGAAAAAAATAAAGAAATGACAATTTCTTTCGAATGTAAAACCTGTAGAACAAAATCGTTTTTGTTGTGTTAACCGAGACACGGGAACATTTTGTGAGAATTTGTAGTGCTTAATTGCTGATTTTTTTTTGTTTTCGATCTTGATCTGGTACATATATATATGAATAAAATACTCAAATATTTCCACGCCCCTACATTGTAAATCACTAACTCCTAAATTGTACTGTAAATATAATAACTAATATATCAGTTTCGCTTCGATGCATTCATGGAATATAATTCAACAAAAACTGAATTTTACTTTATCTCTAGTCCTTAGTCGATACCAACAAACGCTAAATCATGTAAATTGGCCGCCCTTTTTATTTTTTCATACTTTCAAGAGTCAAAAGTGGTCAACTATTTTTGTCACATCACTATCCGAGTTTTGGATAAATGAATAATTTATTATTAATTTTACTCATTGCTATTTGCGATCAGTCTAAAAACGAAAACGGCATTTAATCGATAAAGGTTTGTGTGTTAGTTTTTGAAATAGAAAAAAAACCAAGCAACAAAAACATACAAAAAGAATCCAGCTTTGGTGAATTCATGCGCCCCGGAATGGTAAGCAGTTCAACCTTAAAATCCCAAAATGAGACAACAAAAGACAATCCAATAACCAAAAACAGAAAACTACCCCTCCCAAAAAAAAAAAAAAAAAAAAAAAAAAAAAAAACCGCAATCATTATAAGTTAGAAATTAGAAACATAGAACAAACAAACAAACAAAATACCTTAGATCAGCAATTTTACAACCAATCGCAGAACATTATAAATAAGTTCTACATTATATGAAATATATGAATCTTTCTAGTATATCAAAGGATTGAAGCAGTAAATTCAAGACATTCTGGCAATAAAATTTCCAAAGTATCGATGACGTACAAGAGCTGATTCTTAATCTTGATAAGATCGACCTGAAGTAACAGACAAGATTTAATGAAGTATCTGTTTTTTAAGAAATATTTTCAGATCATTGACAGGAAGTTGCGGTGAGGATAAGATAAGACAATTCTTTCTGATCCCGAGGTCACACCAAGACTGCGACTTGTTCGTCAGAGATTGAGTTACGACATCTGCTGCTGTGTGTGGGAGATACGATCTATGAGAAAAAAATTGAGTCTTGAAGTTGTTGTTTTTGGAGTTAGACCATGCTGAAGTAAGACTGTGGAATATTGTCCTGTTAGTTTCAGGGTAAGTTGTATTTTTATGGACAGTTGTTTGAAGAGCATTGCATAAAATTTGCATCATTACGGGCAATCGTTTTAGAGAAAATAAAGCTGATATCATCGTTGTACAACAGTATTACTAAGATATAACATTGAGGCTGAATATAGTTTTATAATGCAGCTATTTTCGTGTTTATTATGCAATCATACCACAATAACCAGAAATTGATTGAAAATTAGCTGTTTTATTGTTATTAAGAATTGCGTCAAATTGCATTCAATTATCTACGAAATCACGATAAATTTCTGGTGCATTATTTATTATTATAACTAATATCTTTTCAAATAACTTGACTGCAGTTATTCAAAAATTCATAAACTTATCATTTTGAGAATCAGAAACTCAGATACCTCTCACAATTAACACGTGAACTTGATAGTTTGAAGTAAGAACACTCTCTTGCACATCTCGTGACCACTTGCATGATTACATCTTTTTTCTCATATAGCAGCGTAAAAAACATATGTTTAACAGTTGATTATGTTAACGAAGGTAGCCCATTGGTACTAAGGGTTAGCCAAATGACCTTTGTTGACCTTTGTCTTTCTCACAATAACATCGTTGCAAGATTCGACTTCTTCGTTGATTGTTTTTGTTTTTTTCAAGGTTTTTTTCAGTATCTCATGCACAGCATTTGTCTCTGAAATATTTTTCCTATACACTTTAATATAACACAAGGTACTTAACTCGCATTTTTGAAAAATGTCACCCGGTCGCAAACTTCCGTTTTATTTCGATTTCTCGGTTGTCAACCCTACTATAACTAGTTATAAGGTAAATCTAAATTGATTTATCTACACAATGGTGTATAATACGCATACCTTTGTTGTCGGAATCATTAGTAGCGGGCCTCCCTAATTATGTCAACAGTAATTATTTCGTCTACCCACAGCCGATTGGAAATATAATTTCACATTATTCTATGGCTTTTTATAGCTTTCAATACGGTATTGCTTTTACTCATTGTTTAAGGTCGTATGATGATCTGTAGTTGTTCTCATTCCTGTTCTTTAGTCCATTTAAACTAATTTAAATATTCGTAATTTATTATAACAATAAACTTCAAAATTTGCCAAATTAACAATCAAACCAAACATTTTTTTTTATAAAGTACCATTATCAAACCCCAAGCGGTTTCCAGATTTAGGAGAAAACGATTTGTAAACTGAGTAATCGACCTTGACCTTGACCTTGACGTTCGACTGAAGTTCCAAACTTTATTCGAGACGCAACTTACACAATCATCAAAATTACACAAATTAAAACAGAGTGGTATTGTAAGAAAAAACACGGTTTGTGAGGCGGCCGACCAAAAGTATTGACGCACGGACAATGTATAAGACTTCCGCATAGGGCTTATGGTCATAAAATGAAGATAGCCTATCCCAAAGTTAAATGATTAAGTTCTTCTGCAAACATCTGAAGAAATCCTTAAGATGTATACATACATTACAATGAAATGATGATCAGTCTTAGTGTCATTGATATAGGAGGGTCTGAATGGGGGTCTTTCATTTCTGTATTCTTTAATTGTTTAGGCCATTTTTCTCCATTCTTTATACTTGCCCATTATTCTCTAAATCTTCATATCTTAGCACTTCATTTTTCTCTATTCTTTATTTTTTGGTCCATTTTTCTTTATTCTGCATAATTTTTGCCCATTATTCTCTATTCTGTAAACACCCATCCACACCCTCATATATCATTGTAGGTTAGAAACGTAGATCATAACTAAGATATATTGGTAATAGTGTAGGTAAAATTATCAGGAGTTATCTAGGAATGATTAATACATGTACTATTGAAGGAAAATGCATAGAATGAGTCAATTTGAACTTCAAAGCTGTAAATATTTTCTCATTCATAAATGTAACAAAATGGAAAAAATACTAATTGGCAAACATTTGAAGGATACTGCCAAGCTTTAGTTATGTTTGTGCACTTTATATGCGATACCATACATTTGTTACCTATTTTACAAAGGATATATGATTGATAATGGATGCATATTATATGTACAATCTTAAAAGATTCGAAAACATGTATGACTTCAACAATGTGACTTACTCTAATCAAATTGGTCAATATATTCCTAGAATATTAATAATGTTTGTCAATAAAAAAAAAAACCATAACGAACAATTATATCATAAAGAGTTTGTATTAAAACGGCCGTTTTGATCTGAACCAATCTTAGAATAAGTAGAGGAGTGGCCATTTGATTCTGAGGGGATGGAGAATGGCAGATTTTGAAAATATTCTGGTCCAAAAAAGATGAACATTTATATTTTGACCTAACTAGAAAGTAATGAAATACGTATAAAATTAGACACAAATTGAAAAAAAAAATATTGTCTTGTAAAATTTGGAAACATATATATTCGGACCCGACCAAAAATTTCCATAAAAAGTTAGTGAACAATTAATTCTGCAATTGTTATCTATGAACATCATGTGAAAAATAACTTAAACGCTTAACATGACATTTCAATGTTTAAGTCGAATTTTAAGATCACAATGACCGCTTTTGTACGACATCTTCAGCGACCCTATTGTATACAGTAGTACAACCACTGTTATAGGATCGATTTCACTTGACCATAAGAAAGTTTTCATTTTATACTATTATTTTATATTTTATTATACGACCGCAAAATTTTTGCGTTCGTATAATGTTATCACGTCGTCTGCGTCGTCGTCGTCGTCCGAAGACATTTTGGTTTCCGGACAATAACTTGAGTATCAGTGCATGGATCTCTATGAAATTGTACGACAATGTTCCATACCACAACAGGAAGGTTGGGATTGACTTTGGGGGTTATTGTCCTAACTGATTAGGAATTTGGGGCCAGAAAGGAGAAAAAAAAACTAGGATTTTCATGTTTCGGACAATAGCTTGAGTACCTTGACAATGGATCTCTATGAAATTGTACAACAAGGTTCCATACCAAAAAAGGAAGGTTGGGAATGATTTTTGCGGTTATGGCCCTAATCGTTTGGGAAAAAAAGGGGCCAAAAACAATACTTTTTTAATACTTTGTATAAATTGCTTATTTCTTGAACAATTTATATGGCGTTTACTTCAAAGTCTTGAATTCTTGGGGTTCTTTGATATGCTTAATCTAACCATGTATTTAGATTTTGGATTTTGGACCCCGTTTTTAAACTGATCTACATTGAGGTCCAAAATTAAACTTTGTTTGCTATCAACAAAAATTGATTTCTTGGGGTTCTTTGATATACTGAATCTAACCGTGTAAACAAGATTTTTGATTTTGGGCCCGGTTTTCAAATTGGTTCACATTAAGGTCCAAAGGGTCCAAAATGAAACTTAGTTTGAATTTAATAAACATTGAATTCAAGGTGTTTTTCGATATGCTGAATCTAAACATGTATTTAGATTTTTTATTTTTGGCCAAGTTTTCAAGTTGGTCCAAATCGGGGTCCAAAATTAAACTTTGTTTATGAATATATGGGGGTCTTTGATATGCTGAATTTAACTGTGTATTTAGATTTTGCATTTTTGGTCCCATTATCAAATAGGTCCACATTGAGGTCCAAAGGGTCAAAATTGTTAGTAGATTCATAGTTAAAAATAGATATAGCATCATGTTCTAATTTTAGAAATTATGTATAAATATAGTTTGAAATTTACAGTGACTGTTCATTATTAGATACTTTGAAAAATAGTTTGAGGTAAGTTTAATAGATTTTTGAGGACTTTATATTAATGTTGAATAATATTTTTTTGTTTTTTTTTTTTATTTTTTTTTGTAAATGTTTGGAAGAACTTTGTGGTAGGTTTGTTCGTTATTCTGTAGATTAATTTTCAGAATGCTATATATGTATATATATGTTGTTTGTGCTGTATTTAGACCTCTCTACCAATTTTGTTTTGCATGCACACGTATAAAAGTTGCGGTTTTTAACCAACGCAATCATAGGTTTGAACGTTGTTTTCAATTTAGACTTATCTATATATATATATATATATATATATATTTTATGATGTGACTCCCTTTAAAATTTAACTAATATTATCCATTAATAAATAGATAAATTAAATTCTTGGTGTACTTGGATATGCTGATTCTAATCCTGTATTTAGATTTTGGATATTGGACCATTATAGGTAAAATCCAATTTCAAATTTTTCAGTTCGTTGATCACATTCATTCTGTGACAGAAACCTATGCTGTGTCAAATATTTTATTCATAATCCAAATTCAGAGCTGTATCAAGCTTGAATGTAGTGCCCATACTTGCCCCAACTGTTCAGGGTTCGACCTCTGCGGTCGTATCTACATGCACCCGGCGGAGAACTTTCTGAAAAAATGTCAGCAATTTAATAATGATTTAATATAGTTCTATCTGATAGAGTTCCCGTACATACACGAGCATTATAATTATATCGGTGAATATTGTGTGTTTCTTGATTTTTCTCCTGTCTTATTAGTTATTGTCATTCCCCAATGACGGTATATAATTATGGTTCTTTTTAACGTTTTTTCATTATTGGTAAAATCCATATTTTTCTTTTTACATTTTTGATGTACTTGCGTGAAAGTCAGTTTAAGTTTTGAAATATTCAAGAATCTTTCTATTGTTGTTATTTCTGAGTCATATTCAAGTTTTCGCAAAGCTTCGCTGCTCGGTCGTTGACCTGAGGAGTACGTGCACTAAAATGAATTCTGATAACATCCAATGCAGAACAGTATCTGCATTGACGTTCTGAATACTATTTTATTACGACATAAGCACGTTTGCATAATCTAACAACTGTAACAGTTTAAAGGATTTTCTTTTACTAAAATGTGATATTCATTTGTAATAAAACAATCTTTTTGTCTGCCACTACCCGAAGATTTGAATTAGTTGTACAAGTATGTTGAGATGTTTGATTATGTACCATCTGTTGTAATTACAGATTTGATCAAAATAAACTATAGTGAAATACGGTATAA